AAGAGCTCTGAAATTGTCATCCTCCATATCCAAGGCAAGCTCAAACAACAAGGAGCTCAAGAAAGAAGAAGTTGCAAAGGAAGAGAAAAACCTTGAGAATAGAGGTAAGAAGCCCTATAATAACTTTTCTTCCTTCATTTGATTTTCATATGTCTTATATAGCATATGAGGAACCACTAGAGAAGCTCTACATGTTTAGAAATGTAGAATGAGGGGTTGGAAGGTAGTTCTAAGTCCAAGAACGGACCTAGAAGCCAAAGTGACCGGTTCTCCGGAAAATAACCTTTTGGAGGTTATTCGTATCGATATGAGTTTTATGATGATAAAAATTGTTAGGAACTTGTCTAAGGTGTTCCTAAAGCTTTCACGGAGTTGAAAGAGTTTCCAGAGTTTTCGCCGGAGTTTGTCAAAGTTCGCCGGAGTTTCACCGGAGTTCAACCGAGAAGGGTAGAACTTCCTAAAAGTTCATTCAAGGTGAGTGGATGGCTTAATGTCTTGTAACTCTTGGTTTAAGTATTAGATTACCTAAGTAAATGTTATATGTGTTCATAATGATGATTAAAATGGTTTAAGCATGTGATTAGCCAAGATGATACTTATACGAGATGAACCATAATGATTATGCATGAAAGACGATATAAAAATGATATAAAACATATGTGATGTTTTGAATGGCCAAAATGAAAAATATTGATTGTTCAAGACTTAATACATGTTTGGTTTAAGTTTCGAATCAATCGGAGTCGGTTTGGGCGATCAACGGGCCATTGACCGCAAAGGAAACTGTGGACCGGTGCCGGTTTGGGCTATAACCGGTGCCAGTTTGAGTACGGGGAATCCAAATAAATTAATTTAAATGCGAACCGGCGCCGGTTATGGCTGAACCGGCGCCGGTTTGGTGTTGTTTTGTCCCGAATGTTGATTTATGTGCATGGTTTTGCATGAATTGTTATGCTTAGGCTATAAGACTTGGTTTAGTCTTGATAAATGATTATGATATAGACCCTATCTATGTATGATAAGCGGTAGATCATAGAAATGAACATAAGATGGTGGAGAACCTAGGGACGACGGTAATGTCCTCAAAACTCGGTAGATAAACGGTGGAGAACCCAAGGATGACAGTATTGTCCTCAAAACTCAAATGTATAAATGGTGGAGACCCAAGGACGATGGTACTGTCCTCAAACCTCAGTATATAAACGGTGGAGACCCAAAGACGATGGTAGTGCCCTCAACACTCATATGTATAAATGGTGGAGAACCCAAAGACGGCGGTAGTGTCCTCAAAACTCGAAATACGAATTGATTAGGACCAGGAGGAGTCCTATGCACTCATAGGTATATGGGTGAGTTGTCATTTAAGTCAAGGATATCGACTACTACTATTTTTTCAAGTAAACAATGACCTATAGGTCGGGTATTTCCAAGTGTATATATAGTAATATGTATTTTATAACTTGGGGGAAAGGATTATACGTGTATGTTTCACCCTATGTTTGGGTCTTATAGTTGAAACGATAGTTATTCTACATTTTGCTTGCTACTCGCTCGGTACTCGTACTGACCCCTTCGGGAGCCCCACCATTTTCAGGTTGAAGTTAGGGCTTTCTACCTGCACCTTCTTACAGGTGAATTCAACTCAAGGAAGATGTGGTTCGTACTTTCTTATTTCCTTTCAAACTACCAAACACTTGCTCATGGATATTTAATTTACTATAAACTATTTTGGGCCTGTGAGCCCATGGTTTGGCCGGTTGTGGCCTACACTTTACCGTTGAATATTTCCGCTATTCATTGGTTTAAATGTGATGTTGTTATGTATGTTTACTATTGAGTATGGATGGATTATGTTCATGGACGCCTTGTATGATTAAGTCACGTTGACTTGTGAGTGACGTCACTTGATCATATAACGGTTGTACACGCGCTTAAATGCGGTCTGGGGCGTGACACAAGAGGCGGAGAGGAGAGGGAGAGGAAGATCCTAACAGACTTGAATTAGAGGAATTAGAAAACAGATATGTGTCTTCTTGAGTTGAATGAGAGTATGGCTTTGGAGAGAACAAAAAGGAGGGTGCACATTCATGTGGATGAGTGATCTCTTTTCTATCTTTCTTCTCTTTTTCTTTTATCATGTATCTTCATTGGCTTTTTATGTTCTTGTGTTATTTTTAAGCCCTACTACCTCCTACCCGATGGACTTTACCAAGTGCAAAGTAGGTGAGAAATAAGAAAAGTAAATACTGTGTGATTGAAATTTGTGCAGAGGAGAGAGAAATGTGCAGAACCACAAATTAGTTGCTTTAATTGGAAAATGACGAAGTTTTTTGGGATAACCACAAAGGGAAAGTTGGTAACGTCCAATGGGGCGGAGGGAGTACTTTTTATGGCTCTTTTATCTTTTTATCGTTTACCTTTCTTATAGTCTTATGTTATTGTTATCTTATATTTATCTTTATCCTACTTTACTTTTTTCCCTTATCTTTCTTCTTCTTTTAGTGCAGATGTCATTTATCGATTCATGTTAGTCGACTCCAACTTCTTTTGGAATTAAGGCTTGGGTGTAGTTGTACAGTCAAAGTTGTGTGTTGGCAAACGCAAAAGTTAAACTATTGCAACTATTTAAGAACAGATCAAGAATGATATATATTTCCCAATGAACATAATTTCGGGGATGTTGCCAATATGGCTATACACGTTTATGCAGTTATGCACTATGAACCCTTATGCACGTGTTTTATATGGTCATGCATGTTTACTTCAGCGCGTATATAGTGCATCCGGGTGTACGTACACCCTGCCCAAGCAAGAAAGGCAGCCCAATCACTAATACAGGTCAAAAAAATTCGGTGGCATTTTTGTAATTTAAGCGAAAAATCATGACGTCCGCTAAATGAGCAATATTGTACTTTTAATGAGCATCAGACCTATTTTATTGAGTATTTAAGAGACTAACAATGAGTATTACGATCCCTGCTTCATATCTTTTAATTCTTTTTTCTTTTTCCTATTTTTTCGTTTATCAAAACTTATTAAATTATATCTATAATACACTTCTATTAATTTCAATATGCGAGTCTATTGTAATTTGATACTTTTGAAATATGCATTGATATAACAATTCAAAAATGAGCACAACATCAATACAAAATGAGCATACATAACTTACAAAGTGCACATTGATATGAATATCACAACATTTTAATTGAACATTAAACCTCTGCTATTGAGATGAAAATCACGGTTTCTGATGAATGAGCACTAATGAAATTTTAATGAGCGTCAGACCTATTATGTTGAGTATTAGAAGTCTAATATTCAGAATCGCGATCTTTGCTTCATAACTTCTAATTCACTTTCTTTTTGTTATTTTTTATTTTATAAAAACTTATTAAATTATATTTATAATCAACTCCTATGAATTTCAATATGTGACTCTAATGTAAAATAGTACTTTCAAAAAAATACATTGATATGACATTTAGAAAATGAGCATAGAATGAGTACCAAATGAGCATACATTAAATGAGAATTAATGAATTCTTAATGAGCATCAGACATACAAATGAGCATTGATATAAAAATTGTAAGTTTTGTTCGTTGAGCATCAAAGTGGGTATCGAAGCTCCGTTATTGAGTATTAGAATCGTGCATTGATATGATATTTTGAAATATGAGACTTTTGAAATATGCATTGATATAACATTTTGAAATGAGCATAACGAAGGTAATAAATGGACAAAACTTAAAAAATGAGTTTTCAAAAATTCAAAAGCTAATTCGTGTATGTTCATATTTTTAGACGCTTTATTTATTTGAGTTTAAAGTAAAGCTTATTTCTAATGTGCTCGGTATTAATATATAAAGAAAAAGAAAGAAGGAAACAAGAAAAGAAAGAAACGAAAAGAATAAAAGAAAAAAGACAAAACAAAAGAAAATAAACTAACTAAAACTAAAAGTAATGAAAAAATAAAATCAAAAAGATAAAACACAAAATGAAAAACAACTAGCAGAGTAGCAAGACAAACCAAAGAAAATGGTGGCTGGAAAAGAAAAGGAATGGGCGGCTGGAAAAGAAATAAAAGGAACGGACATAGAGCAGGATAAGAGAATTAAAAGGCTTAAAGTTGCAAGAAACTACAAAAATACCGGGTGTATGTGTACACCCGGGTGTACCGTATAATTTGCGTGTTTACTTACTATGAGATTGATCTAAATTGGAGTAAAAAACATATAAAATGCATAAATGGGAGTTGTCATAATTTATTCGGAAAATAGAACTCACTTAGTTCTATTTAAAATAAAGAACTTCTCCAATTAGAAATGAATGAGTCATATTTTAAATAAAAATAATGATGATCTTACGTGTACATCGTATTTGTGTTTCACTCCTATTTAAAAAAAGGTAATTTGAGTTTGCATCCTATTTTATTGTCCAAATTAGACTTTGCACCATATTTTTAAAAAAACATTGTATTTGTACCCCAAACCCTTATGAAAAGACAAAAATGTCTCTCAATCAGGATTTTGTTGAAGGCCAACAGAATTGTTAATGGAGAGACATTTTTGTCTTTTCATTCGATCAAGACTGCACAATCAGATGATTTGTGACATTCAAGGCTAGCGCATTCATCATAGAAAGTGTTACGTCTAGTTACTAGTTAGTGACTTGAATAAATCATTGTTTAAGGTTGATTTGAATCATATTTATGATGCATGTTTACCAGGAAACAGACTCGTGATGTTTTCAATAATAATTTGACTACAGCTATTGAACCATTTGAGGTAATCCATTGTGATATTTGGGGTCCGTACAGAACTCACGTGTCTTGAGAATCATGCTTTTCTTGCATCACTTTCAATTATCAAGGAGCTTACTAGCGGCATTCCTTAGCTGATTATAGTTGTAATAATTGTAAAAATAATTGTAAATATATAGGAGAGACCATACAAGTTATACACTTATACATACACACAAGATATTTTCATAGCCTAAATTTAAATTCAATTAAAAACATTCTAAATAAAAAAATCTCATAAACCAAAAAAGTTCGCCCAAAATCAAATCACCACTATTGGCTAGTGACTAAACGGATGCCTGATGTCCAAAATTGCCTTTGAAACAAATATCCAAGCCCCTCGAAAAATGCCCATGGAATATGGCTTCTAAACCCCTTATCTCATGCCCTATTTTCGCGCCACCATTTCCATACGACCACCACCGGCCCGGCACCACGGTGGGCTTTTCTCGGTGGAACAACGCCAACGCTGAGAAGTTCAACCGCCAGGAGCGAACCCAGAAGGAAATCGAAGACGAGATCCGCTTCCACAAGCGACATAACGCCGCCCTCAACATCATCAACAATTACAATCCTGCCCCTCCGTCTCCGGTCACCGGCACCTTCAAATCCATCGGCACCCCCTCTGCTCCTTCCAAGCCTTCAATTCCAGGTAAGAAATCGAAATACTCTAAACCTCCCAAGGATTCTGGGCCCTCACACCCGGCCTTTGGGCCCGTTGTTCGTCTCAGGAAGATCCCCGATGTGGGCGGAAGTTCCAAAATCTACCGTCGCACTGACGCGGATGAGCCCAAGATTGAACCTCAAGAATCGAGCACCAACATCAGTGTTAACGAAAATGGCGTCACTTATGAGTTCCCAGAAGCTCCATTCGTGTACCAGTATAGTTACACCGAGACACCAAAGGTGAAGCCTTTGAAGCTCAGGGAGCCATTAATAATGCCCTTTGAGTCGAAAACCATGACAAGACCATGGACAGGGCGAAAGCCCCTCTCTCCTAGCAAGAAGAAGTTGCCTGAATTTGATTCCTTTAAGCTCCCTCCGCCCCATAAGAAGGGAGTGAAGCCAGTTCAAGCTCCGGGTCCTTTCTTGGCAGGGTCTGGACCAAAGTATGCGAAGTCAAGGGAGGATATCATGGGGGAACCTTTGACAAAGGAGGAAATCGAGGAGCACATTAACAGCTGTAAGAATTCGAAAAGACAACTGAATATGGGTATGTAAATCAATACAGAGGTACTGCATTTTTTTACACGGAGTGCTTAATTTGGGTAGTTATACAGATATACTGGTGTTCTTTTTGCAATTAAACATTGTGGGTCATGGACTTAACCTGCCTGCTTGATTTATGATTTGAACTCCAAATTAGTAAGATATGATATCGATGGACCTCTGATACATTTTTTCAATCACTGCTAGTGGTGTATACTTGCTCATTTCCTACTGATGCATGCCATTTCATTTTCTAGGAAGAGACGGACTGACCCATAACATGTTAGAGAACATACACGCTCTTTGGAAGCGAAGGAGGGTGTGCAAGATAAAGTGTAAAGGGGTGTGTACTGTAGACATGCAGAATGTACGAGAGAAACTAGAGGTTTGTCTCTTTTCAATTTCCCTTGAATAACATTCTCAGGCCGCAAACTTGGTCCCTAATTGTTTACCTCATTTGGTCCTTATGAAGGTTGTAGTTGGTTCTTTGTGTTAGGAATTTTGTTTACTTCTAATTAATGTGAGGACCATGTTGGTAACTTCGGGTAATACCCGAAGTCCCAGAGAACAAAGCTAAAGATGCTAAGAAATGAAGGATGAAAATATCTAATTGGCTTGACATAAATCATAAGTAAAAAATGTCACAACCTCCATTCTCTAGTCTCTATTAAATGTTCTATTAGGCTTTTTCATGGGGTTTAAAAGTAAATTTGGTAGAGGTAGTTTATAATATGTAATGTGGAAAAGTATTTGCATACATCCCTAGTATGATAGTGGAGCAAGTATTTGTTTACAACCATAAGAGATTAAGGTTGAACCATCAGATGATAGTGGAGCAAGTATTTGCTTACAACCATAAGAGATTAAGGTTGAACCATCAGATGATAGTGGAGCAAGTATTTGTTTACAACCATAAGAGATTAAGGTTTAACCATAGGAGGTTAAAGTCGCACCATAAGCCGAAAGTGGAACACTTTATAGATGACTGAGAAATAAACCTTTTATCACAACATTTTCGGTATTGCATAAAGATCAATTATAGCTCAGTTTTGATATTTTGCAATAATTGATGATTTAACTATGCAACTATGCCAACCTTATTCTTAAAAGCGTTTGGGGTCGGCTAAGATGAATCTAAATATGATTTCGAGTTTTAATTTAAAATGGAATAGTGTTAAGTCATGGGGTTCTTTCTTAAAAGATTAGACCAAAACAGAACAAATCAAATGAGACTAGACTAACATAAAATATGATACTGTACACATATGAAGAGGTGTTAAGATTATATGTTGGTTGGTGTTGCATCTCTACAATAGCGGTCCTTGTTATTTAAATTTTTCTAAAATATCGAATTATGTGAAATAACAGGAAAAGACAGGAGGCAAAATTATATATAGTCAAGGTGGTGTGATTTACCTCTTCCGTGGCAGAAACTACAACTACAAAACACGCCCAAGGTTCCCTCTGATGTTGTGGCGTCCCATTACTCCTGTATATCCTAAGCTAGTGCAAAAAGTTCCTGAGGGCCTAACATTAGAGGAAGCATCTGAAATGCGTAAAAAAGGACTTACTTTATTGCCAATTTGCAAGATTGGTAAGCTGACCCCTTTTTCCTCCATTTTCGCATCAAATTGTATAATGAAGAAGGTATTGATATAAATGTTATGTATTTGCAGCAAAAAATGGTGTATACTCGAACCTTGTGAAGAATGTTAGACAGGCATTTGATAGTTGTGAGTTGGTGAGAATCAACTGCCAAGGGACAAACCCAAGTGACTTCAAGAAGATAGGTGCAAAACTTAAGGTATGTTAGATATTATGCATTTTTGTTATTTTATGTCGGGAGTTGGATATACGAAAGAGAATGTAAATCTTAACGAGCCTGAACTCACCCCAAAATATCCATGAGAGGTGGGATTTACTTCTTAGTTCTCATATACTATCCTCCGTTCCATAAAAGTTGCAACAGTTTGACTTTCACGTTTGCCAACGCGCACCTTTGACTGTACTTATATTTATTTACGTATTAGTAAACATTAAAAAAAGTTAATATATTGGAAATTTACATTAATATAAATTTAATAATATTTTATACATAATATCTTTATTATATATATTATTAGAAAATCGTAGTCAAAGTAAGGTGTGTGAATACTGCAGAAATTCCAATGTTGCAACTGTTATGGAACGGAGGAAGTATATACTACAGTAGACAAATGATGAGGTGTATCAACACCTCATCTCCTCGGGCTTTGATGCCCAAGTCTGGTTAGACAATTAAAGGTGTGGTGGACCGTGGACATATGGGCAGGCTCTTGCAAACCATTGAGTGGGCAGGCATCACATAGTCATGTAAAAATTAACTATTGTAAATAGGAGTAAAACAATAGTCATATTCACAAAATTGAAGTATCTTTCTTTTGTACTCAAAATAGGCCAAATTACCAAATTGGTAAAAAGAGAGAGGATGGTTTACCAAATTGGTAAAAAAAACACTTGAGACATAATGGTAAAAAGAAGAAGCCCCAGTGACAAATTGGTCAATTTTTTGTGAGTGACATTTTTTGTCCTCGACTTTAGAATTCCCGGCATTTTGTATCACAAGTATTGCGAAATTGACATTTTCAGTCCATCTACGTTGATTTTGTCATTAAAGTGGAGGATTAAAAATGTCAATGACCGTGTTTGATAATAACCGTTGTGAATCAACAGATTGATGCTAGCCAATTCTGTTAGCCTTTTTAACTAACCACTTTCATTAGCGCTTTGAAATAAAATGTCATTAATTGTTTGCGATTAAATGTTAAGACGTAAAATGTCCATTAAGGATATGAGCTGAGTATATATATTTAACGTAACTTAATTTTTTTTATTCTAATTAAGCCTTAGAAAAAATTTTAAAAATTATATTTACGTCTATTTTAAAGAACTATTACCACTGTCATTTTTCACATATGTATATTAACGCGAGCACACAAATATAAATTTATTAATTTTTAGTATCAATATTTGTAAATATGACTATTTTATAAGTTTTTTTAAAGCTTACTCCATATAAACGAGCAAATATATTCCATATAAAATAGAATTTTTATATGGATTAGAATTTTGAAGTAGATTTTTAAATGGAGTAGATTTAAAAAAAAGAAAGATATGAATTTATGAATATGACTTCGATATGTACATATATTATTTTAAAAATATGAATTCTAAAAGTGTCTGACTCATAAAAATTTGACCAATTTGTCACTGTGACTTCGACTTTTTTTATCAATGTCTCAGGAGGTTTTTTTTACCAATTTGGTAAACCACCATTTTTTTTACCAATTTGGTAATTTGGCCACTAAAAATAGGATTGATACTGTCCTTACAAAGTTACAATAGAAAAAAATTAGTTAATAGTTCTTATTTTAGTAGTGAAGGAGTTGTGCTTTGCAGAAGTAAACATATCTCTGTTTTCCGTTCTCCGGCAATTTTTTTTGGTAAACATGTTTTCTGTTTTTCTTTTCCTAGTTTTCCTAGAAAACTGGAAAATATCTCCGTTAGAAAACAGACCATAAGGGCCTATTCAAAGAAATTTGTTTTGTTGTAGTTCTGTTTATGTATTATTTCCAAAGCCAAGTGCACCAAATGATCAAAACAAAATCAAATAGCAAGTCTAACTAAAGACCTTATATACGCATTTGTCTCTCTAAATTTCGATGTAGCTAGGCCGGTTAATAATATCTGGCATAGTGATCATTTGCATAAAGTTGATGGTTGCTTGAACTGCAGGATCTTGTTCCATGTGTGTTAATCTCATTTGAGCATGAACATATACTCATGTGGAGGGGACGAGAGTGGAAACCCTATACACCTGACATTGAAGAAAAACCGAAGAGAACGGAAACTATAGCTGAGACTTCACCATCAGTGCATCCTAAAGAAGGGAGTGAAAACAAGAGAATATCTGAGACTTCACTTTCGCGTGAGGAGGAGGAGCCGTTAGAATGTTCATCTCCGGTCCCATTGAATGAGGAGCAGCACCAAACTGAACTAGAAAACCTAGACACCAGCAATAAGCCGGTGAGTGCTGGTAACAAGGCTCCGACAGAGGGCCTTTCATTGCTCTTGAGTCGGGCTATTGAAATAGGGAGTGCGGTTGTTTTGGATGATTCTTGTTTGGATGCTGACAATGTATACAAATCGGCGATTTCTCTGGCCAAATCTGCACCACCAGGTCCTGTCTTTAGACATGAGCGCAAAAAAGCTGCAGGAGATCAGCAGGTCAACAAACAAGAAACTGGGTTTTTGGAGGCTCAAGGAATAATAGAACCCCCAATGAGTGGACTAGCTGAAGAGAGTACTGCTTTAGTTCAGATTGTAAATGAGAGGAAAATTTCAAGAAAAGGTGTGAGGCAAGATCATGTAAATGTTGGCCTCAGGATAGATGAACTTGCCAAGTTACTATCGTAGTTCTGATTAATTTCATATAGTAATTAATTAAAATGAATTTTACTTTTTCATTTTTTTATATACAGCAAAAATAACACTTTTACTCTTATATCTATTTTTGCAAAATCATAGAATAAGCATAGATAGCAAGTACTACATCCGTCCCGCTATGATTGTCTCATTTTACTTTATCGGTCTGTCCCACTAAGATTGTCTCATACCAAATTTGGTAAAGTTTGTGTGGCTCTAAATCATTCTTACTTTATTCTTACTTTATCAATTCAATATTAACCACATAAATCAATTTTTATTAATTTGTGTGTCACTCCCTCTTGTCCTATTGTTAGCGGGACGGAAGGAGTAAGACTTTCGCGTAATCAAAAGAAGAAAACTTTAAGTTTTCAAATATGATTAAAAAATGCTTTATCACAAAAATTGAATGACCAAAAAAGAGAAATGTTCAAAATCAATTAAAAAAATATGGTTACAAAGTTTAGAGAATTTACATGTAGACAAAAGTACCCGTAATAAAGGTCGAATTTACATGTTTTTTTTTTAATTATGACTCCGTGCGTTTTTTTAAAAGAAATACTCCGTATATTTCACTTTTAGAATTAGTTTTCTTGGTAGACAGGGAATGAAAATATTCTTGTCAAGGGAAATGTCAGAGAATTTGAGAAAATTCTAATACTTCAAAACGTTACCTCTAATCTAATTAAATAAGTCAGCATTCTTTGATTCGAATGAAGGTGACAAAAAAGCTGTTTTATTCGCCAAACCATATTCCAACTTTCTCCATCTATCATTATCTTTCAAATAATAAGGTAGGGACTAGGGAGGTTCCTCCAATCTATCATACCAACTTGGGCCTTATTTCGTACATCATACAAAGTACAAACCACATGCTTCAATCAATTCATCTACGGAGTATTATATTATTACGAGAAAAGCGTCAATCGAATGATTTCTCAATTTGTTACGAGTAAGTTAGACTTAATAAATAACATTCTCCAAAAATTTCATCAAAAAATTTCACCGATAATTGCCCCAAATGACGACGGCCGGACAGAACCTCCTATATAAGGGCTTATTTGACCTTTTTTGTTAGTACGTGAACTTATTTGCCCATTTTCCCTATTATTATTATTATCATCATCATCATCATCATCATCATCATCACTAGATTTAATGGCATATTTATAACGAAAATAAAAACATAGTAAATACTACGAGTACCATGTTGGTCTCGTTTCGGGAATAAAAACATAGTAGTCCTATTTTGGAATTTTAAACTCCATTTACTCCTATTTTGGTATCATAAAAATAATAAAATATACGACAAGAAAGTGTTACATTTTAAATAGTGATTATAATAGCAATCTTAGTGATTTATTTATGTTCAGTATTTACAATTAAATGATCATGATATTATATTAATAGTAATTATAATCATATTTTCATCAATTAATTTTATTTAAATTTTAATTTAAGAAAAAACTTTATTATTCTTAATAGATTATTATTTAATTATAATCCTTCATATCGTTAGCTTTATTTATTTTTTATGACATCTACTTCTGATTTACCATGTTGCAATGACTTCTGAAATCAAATAGTAGTTGCATCAATTAAGTGGCGTTTGGCAAGATCCGTTTGAGAGTGTTTTTTGCTGAAATTTTGTGATCATGTACTTCATAAAGTATAGATTATTATCATAAAATTTTAATTAAAGTTCAATCGAAAAGACAGTAGGTAATACTACGTGCTCCGTATATTTTTAATGTTTTTTATATTACGTAATACTCCCTCCGTCGGACATGGTTTTGACACTAGAAATGAAGCGGGGAAGAACATTCTGGATTTTGCATCGTCGTATGAGTTGGTTGTGATGAACACTTGGTTCAAGAAAAGAGACTCTCACATTGTCACATATAGAAGTGGAGCTAATAGTACCCAAATTGACTACTTTTTAGTACGGACGACTTGGAGAACTAGCTACACTGATGGTAAGGTTATCCCATGTGACAGTGCTGTCACTCAGCATAGGATGCTTGTGCTTGATTTTCGAGGTAAAAAGAGGAGATGATTTAGTGTACAAGGGGAGCCAAAGATAAAATGGTGGAGGCTCGAGGGGAATCTCCAACAAAGTGTTGCACACAAAATGTTGGAGGAAGATGTTTGGTCTATTGATAATGACGCACACGTGGATGATGTGTGGTTATCAATGGAGTCCACCATTGACAAAGTGGCGAAGGAGATACTCGGAGAATCTAAAGGATGGCTGTCACCAAAAAAGGACACATCATGGTGGAATGATGAAGTGAAACAAGCAATAAGGACCAAAAGGGAATGGTATAAGAAATTGGGCAAAAGTTGGAGCGACGAGAACATAGAGGAGTACAAAGAAGCTAGAAGAAGAGCAAAGAAAGATGTGAAGGAAGCCAAAGGAAAAGTGAACAAGGAATCAAGATATCAGAAGGATGTCGATCAAAAGGAATCTAAGGAAGGATGTCGATCAAAAGGAATCTAAGGAAGGAAAAAAAGATATCTACAGACTTGCTCGTCTTCGTGACCGTAGGACGCAAGATATCAGAAAAGTTAAGTGTGTGAAGGATGTCGATCAAAAGGTATTAATGGATGACGAAGAAATAAAAGAGAGGTGGAGGTCATACTTTGATACCTTGTTCAACGGGAATAAAGTCCAAGGTATTGATGATCTTACTATACAATAGTGTATGGTAAATAGGGACTTCGTGAGAAGGATTCAAACAACAGAAGTTAAAGAGGCTATGAGAAAAATGGGCCGGAAGAAGGCAGTGGGCCCAGATGGCATACCGATCGAGGCTTGGAGAAGTTTGGGAGAGAAAGGCATCAAGTGGCTAACTCGTTTCTTCAACATGATTTGGAGAAACAACAAAATGTCAGTGAGTTGGCGGAAGAGTACTCTCATTCCCTTATTTAAAATTAAGGGTGATGTACAAGAATGTGCTAACTATCGATGGATTAAGCTTATGAGTCACACCATGAAACTTTGGGAGCGAGTGGTTGAGCAAAGACTTCGTAAAAGTGTGAAAATTTCGGAGAATCAATTTGGTTTTATGCCTGGACACTCAACAACTGAGGCCATTCACCTTCTTAGACAAGTTGTGGAGAAGTATAGAGACACTAAAAAGGATCTGCATTCGGTGTTCATTGACTTAGAAAAGGCATATGATAGGGTACCTCGAGAAGTTCTTTGGTGGGCCTTAACTAGAAAGGGCATATCACGTAAGTATATCAGCATCATCATGGATATGTATGATGCTTGTACTACAAGTGTCCGCACTAGTGTAGGGAGGACCGCAGAGTTCCCTATTACTATCGGAGTGCACCAAGGAGCTGCTCTAATTCCTTTCTTATTTGCTATAGTCATGGATGAACTTACAAAGTCAATTCAAGAAGATATATCATGGTGCATGATGTTTGTCGACGATATTGTATTGATTGATGAGACACAATCCGGTGTTAAAACAAAGTTGGGGCTATGGCGACAAACATTGGAGAGTAAGGGTTTCAGACTGAGCCAAAGCAAGACTAAGTATATGGAGTGCAAGTTCGGTGGAGGTAGAAATAGTAGCAACAGTGAGATTACTCTTGATTGTAAGGAGATACCAATGTGTGATATGTTCCGTTACTTGGGATCCATAATTCAGAAGGATGGTGAATTAGATGAAGATGTATGCCATATAATCATAGTTGGGTGGAAGAAATGGAAGAGTGCTTCAGGATTTCTATGCGATCTAGGTATGCCGACTAGACTGAAAGGTGAATTTTATCGTACAACAATTAGGTCGACATTAATGTATGTCGTAGAGTGTTGGGCGGTGAAGCAATGACACATTCAAAAGATGAGTGTGGCAGAGATGTGTATGTTGCGTTGGATGTGTGGACATACCAGAAAAGACCGCTTGAGAAATGATGTAATCAGACAAAAGGTGGGAGTAACACCTATAGAAGATAAGATGAATGAGTCTCGTTTGCGGTGGTTTGGACATGTGCGTTGAAGACCGAGTGATGCACCTGTTAGACGACTTGAGAGGTGGGGAGAAGAGTCAGAGAAGAGAGGGAGGGGAAGACCCAAACAGACTTGGATTACAGGAATCAGAACTGATATGCGTCTTCTTGGATTGGATGAGAGTATTGCTTTGGAGAGAGCAAAGTAGAGGGTGCACATCCGTGTGGACGATTGATGTCTTGTCTACCTTTCCTCTCTTTTTTCTTTTATCGTTTATCTTCCTTATCTTTTTATATTCTTATGTTTTTTTATCTTCTAGCTTTTTATGCTCTTTTATTTTTTATCTTTTATCTTTGTTATATTCTTATGTTATTGTTATCTTATATTTATTTATCTTTATTTTATTAATTTTATCTTACTTTTTTTTTCGTTTTCTTGTCCATCTTCCCTTTTGGCATCGATATCATAGATGATTCATGTTAGCCGACCCCAAATTTTTTTGGGATTAAGGCTTGGATGTTGTTGACTTGTTGTTGTAATACTCCCTCCCCTCCGTCCCTTAAAGCTTTGTCATCTTTCCTTTTTGTGACGTCCTAAAAAAAATTGTCACTTTCTCTTTTAATCAATTATTTTGTGGTTTCTGTTATTTCTGTCTCCCCTACACAAACATTAACCACACAGTTTTTATTAATTTTCACTCACTTCACTTTACCAGCCCACCGCCTTTTTCTATTAGATTTTCCCATTTTAAACTTTTGTTAGCTCCATCCATGACTGGGGGCTCATCTTCACCAAGGTTTCGTCTTCTCTAGGTAAAACTCTTTCACTACCCCCCATGTTCTGAGCGTGCTCATCTTTCTGTATGTCCGTCTTTTGATCCGGAAAAAGCTTAAAATATTGAGCTTTGCTTAAATATACTCGTATTAAATTAAAGGTTGGAGTCATATTTCATTTTCACCCATTTTGTTGAATTCACTTTGCTTTTTCCTTTTTTGAGTTTTTTTAAATCATTAGATGGTCTTTACGGAGATCTGTACCCAAGGATATTTGTTTTCTGTTCAGTCAAGATTCGGAATTATGGTGTTTTGGCATGTTGCGAGCTTTCACTCTCTGGTTTTTTGTTTACATAAATGTGCTCAAGTGCTGATTATTGATTAGGGTTGACAAGCAATTGATTCTGACAACGAAAAAGGTCAATTTTGTTTATTTGGCTGTTATTGCTATTCTTTGTGCGACTTACCTGTAAAATACTTCCCTGACATAGCCTCTTGTTTAAATACACGCCCTTGTGGTTAAAATCCCATGCCCAATTTGGCTGTGGTTGTCTCCTTATAAACAAAAAGGGGTACGCTAAAAGTATTTTAATAATCTAATTTTGTATATCAATCAGTGCATTGTTATCCGAGTTTTTTAGTTGCCTTTTTAATACCAATTATATAATGGGGCATTACTATATAATAACTCATTGTTTTAGAATTTCATCTCATTGTTAACTAAGTTTTGAGAATTAATTGACAGTTTGACACTAATTTTCATTAGTGATGAATGATGTGGGATCAGTTTTCTGTTGTAATTAATCAACTTCTAACTAAGTGTAACCTAGCTTTCCCTTGGCGCCCTCTTTTGGAAAACTTGTCAGGGTTGATTCAACGATCGAAGAGTCTAATTATGTTCTTGAAAAGATTTTTATGCGTACATTTTTTCAGTTTGTCAATCTCAATGGCTGAAGTAAACATTGTTAGTTCTCAAGTAGATTAAAGTAATAGTAGCCTTTGAAAACGTTGTTACTTTTTGTTTTGTAGATAACTGGTAAGCCGGTATTTTCATCTACTCCATACATTTTTAAGCTATCAAAGCTAATGCAGATGGAGAAGAGTTGAATAGATAGATATTCTTCTGGCTTTTTCTATATCCTTATTATCATGGAGGATCAAAATGGTCTCAATTTGAGCTTGGGCCTACCTTGTGGTAGAGTTACAGCCTCACAAAGAGGTAAAACTTGGAACTCCTTAAATGACAGGACAGAAGAAGGTGATAGAAATAACAATGTGATCAGTGATATCAAGAATTTTCTAGATGGCGGTCCCAAAAAGCTTGATTCTGTTATTGGGTTGCAGAGAAGTGATCTGGCGAAAAATGAGGGAAACTTCTTCAATGACCTTTCTAGTACATCTCTCCACACAGATCCTAGTAAAAGGTTGAACAGTGGAGGATTCTTGGTTCGAAATGGTAGTAGGTATATTGAAGTAGAAGAAGAGGAAGAAAAGACAACAGATAAAAACATGTATGGAGAGTCAAACCACAAGAGGAAACGCGATAGAGATTCTCATGACAAGACCATGACATCACATATTTCGATTAACACGGATGATGACTCAACTGGGGACAATGAAGATGTAGCTGATTCTGAGGCAGAAAGTAATGACCAAGTTGAGATTAATAATGAGGAGGTCAATGGTTTTAAGATTTCTTCAGAGAAGGAGGTTAAGTATGGGAATGTGTCACATGGATCCCCCTTCTCTCAATCAGTGAATGTTATAAACATGCCCTACTCTCTTCCTTTAAAAGATAGTAACGATCCTAGTTATTCAGGGACACACCCTCTCGTAAACTCAAACATGCCAAGGATGTTTGGATATTCTCGTATACAATTGTCCTCAGTGGACGAAGGCAAATTTTGTGCCCCGGCCTCTCATCATCACGGTCAACAACTTCATCCGACTAATGCCCGAGGCTCTTCAAACTCTGACAAGCACAGTGATGACATGAACGTAACTCAAGGTTTTTTCTCTTTCGCTCTTTCTAATGTTTTTGGGTATTCACATTTTACTTATGAAGATGACAGAAACAGATTCTTTGCAGCCTCAGTAGTTCTTCAAGTTTGAGTTTCCAGGTTGACATTTTGGGATTGAACTTCTCCTTGACAATGTTCTATGTTTTAATAAGAATTAGAAATTAAATCGTAGAGTCTTAGATATTCAGAAACTGGATTAAAGTAGTATTAAATCGCATAATTGAATTTGAATATGATAAAATCTGTTACCTAAAATTAGAGATCAAAATTGAACTGTGTTGAACATTGAATATTAAACAGATGTATAAAATAAGGAGCTTTTTAAAAAGGTTCTTGCATAAAGCCCACCAAGCAAGTTTTTTTAAAATTGCCTTTTGTTTGTTACTTTAGCTTATCTTATAGGCTCTTCAGTCTTCACCAAACACTTAAATTAGCTCCTGTATAATTACTGAAACATCTAATTGATATTGAAAAAATTGAAAGCTTTCGAAAGAGTTATTTGCCAAAAAGGCCATTGTCAATGGGATGGTTACTGCATAACAAAACAAGATAATGTTATCCAAGAGTCACTTTCAAAACATTGTAATCTTGTTCTCTTTTTCCTTTTCAGACCTAAAGAAATTTAGACAAAAACACGTGTAGGAACATTGTCACTTTAGTTTTTGGAAGTTGGAAAATTTATATCTAAAAACTATAACTATTAGAAACTGTTGTTTTAAGAGTGTTTTTTATTACAATGCTCAATTAGAATGTTATGCTTTGCGGATATATTTTTTATTTGTGGCTTTTCATAACTCTAAAATTTGTTAGTGTTCATGAAGTAGCTTCTTCACATCCAGTGGTTGCAAAGAAGTCACCCAGCAATGAAAGACATCCCTATGCTGCAGAGGAAGGTTCATCCAAAAACGTAAAAGGAAATAACAATATAAGCTTCAGGGACCCCACAGACACGTCATCTGAATGGCCCAAAGCAGGAGATGGACTTCCTCCAACACATCGTCTTGATTTCTCCCTAATCAAACCCGGTCTTGCTGCTGATGTGAAATTCGGTGGTTGCGGCTCTTACCCGAACCTACCTTGGGTTTCAACAACAGGGTCGGGTCCAAATGGTAAAACCATATCGGGTGTCACGTATAGGTATAGCCCTACCCAGATCAAAATTGTGTGCGCTTGTCACGGAACACATATGTCCCCCGAAGAATTCGTAAGGCATGCCACAGAAGAGCAAACAACCACCCAAGATGTTGTTGTTGGTGGTGGGGTAGTAACATCATTTCCAAACAGCAACTATGCTGCCTCGACTCAAAGCTGAGTGAATAAGATTCTTGAAGGCAGAAGACCATAGTTCTTTGTGGCTTGTGATAGGTTAACGGCCTGGCTGTATGTAATTTGTATGCTTAACTTTTTTCCCCCGAAACATGAGAAGCATATTCTCTTTTGTGTATATGCTGCTATATATATGTATGCATATGTATATGAATATGTGGGTGTGTGTACAGTCATAGAGAGGTTGGTCCAATCCAAAATTAGGAATGGGTTTCTGTCCGACTATTCCCAAGTAAACCGTTGGATAAAAAGGATGGTTAGGATGTTGAATTTGAATAGTAGGGACATAAACTCATCCGGAAGTTTCGACATGATCAACACTCTATACACAGACATGTATATATATATTGTTTATACATCTCTTGTTCTCTGTATACATATCAGCTTTAGATGTGATCTGCATAGGGAGGGGGGCAATGACCAAGCTAATTTTTGTTACTGAAATATGCCGTTCTATATCTACATTTTCACTTCAGAAAGATAATGAACATGTGAGTTATGACTGATTAAGGATGTTTTTATTTGAACTGAAGTTATCTAGTGACCATTATTTTATATTGCAGTGCCTAAACTTAAATTTTCAACATTTTTTAATAGATCATGAATATTTACACATATATATGTACATTAGAAATTTTATCTTGAGGAGACTGAGAGTCTGAGACCCCTCCAACCTGTTCTGGTCTTCACCATTGTTTCCTTGTTTATTAAATGCACTCCAAAATGCCTATGTGAAACAGAAGATTTATAAACTATTAGAGAAAATTTATGTTAGTTTGTTATTGAATGGTACAATTTACAATTGATCACACAAACTTTCCAAATAAAATGTGCTATTGAATTTGCACCCACATTCCCTTGCTCGGTACTCCACGGTGCACCACGAAGATCAAGTAGTACCCTGGAGGAGCCAACTTCCCGGAGGGCGGAGCCACAACGGAAATCACTGTATTCGTTACTTCGTTGAGCCCCAAAATCAGCATTCTCTGGCCTTGAGAGAAGCCGTGAGTTGTGAATGGCGGTGGATACATGGTAACCTTTATATCACCCATAACCACCTCAGCAGTCAAATTGATGTAGACCTTGAAATTTTGCCCATAAATCAATTGCTTGTCGGAGAACTCTTCCATGATCTGCGGTCGGAATTGGGCCATCTCAGCGGCTAAGTACGGCGGCGAGAATTTCTCGACCCTCATTTCTGTTGGGTACTTGGCTTTGAAATCGTATGTGGCGTGTGTGTTGCTCCCCGCCACTAAAACTTTTCCATCTGGCAAAACCGCCGAAGAGGAATGGTACATTCTGGGAATTTGCGACGGCTTCAATTTGTTGAACCTCTGCCACTTTGGTTTCTCCGGGCTATATAGCACCGGTGTGAAATTCGGTTCCTCAGCCGCATCCCACGCCGAGGTCCCCGCTTTTGCTCCATTGATTAGGAGGAGATCCCCCGTGGGCAAGATTAACATATCCCCCATGACCCTCCCTGATGGCATCTCTTCTATATCCCATTCTGCCCCTTCCTGATTCGCGACAATCCTGCCGCAATCCTTCAACGCCGGTGGGAACTTCCTCGGCGCTTTCTCTGTATATCGGAAAGCGTCATGGGAATTCCCGCCGCAAACCAACACCTCTGCCTTTACAAAATCTCCATCGTTGGTGTTGGAGGTGAGTTTCAGTGGAAGAAGCGCGGATTGACCGGAAGCAGGGTAATTTCGGGAGCCGCCGAGAAGTTTTGGGAGCTCCCGGACCACCTCGCCGGTACGAGGGTTGATGATGACGGAGCGGTCGTTGGCAAAAACGAAGACTGTACCATCCGGGAGAAGGTAGACGAAGGGATACAAGTTGTTCTCGAGATAGCCGTCAGTGGTTTCCATGAGGAAGGGAAGCCCGAATTGTTGAATTGGGAACTTCAGTTGATCCGGCGGGAAAATTTCATAGTTGTGGGCCCCTCTTCCTCCAACAAGTATTATGTCACCATTTTCAAGCATTTGTTGAGAAGCATACCTTTAATTAGCAGTAAGAATAAAAACATAGTTTTCTTAAAATGAAAATGATATAATTCCTAAGATGACAACTAAGACAGAAAAGTTGACAAATGGCAATTAGATGGGATTAGTACACACGAGTTTATGCGGCAAACCCGTTCCTGATATACTGATAATGCATATCAACCCCGTGATTTAGAAAAAAAGTCATACTCATCTATGTTATAATTAATTATGCACATAAAATCCTGAAGCTACAAATTTAGCAGTTTAGAAGTAACGTGTCTTAGTATGATGATTAACGTGCACTGAAAACTAGTCAAAACATAGGTGAGTTTGAACACATATTTTATTAAACAATTAGATTTTTACTTCCAAGATAGTAGATACATAATTAATCATAACATAGGTGAGTTTGATGCATATTTAAATCAAGATGTATTCATGTGAAAAAATTATATACCACGAGGGGGTTTGACGCAATAAACGTAGGAGTGTACAAATGAGAAGATGTGAGAAAGGAGAAAAGGCTAGTTCATTAGATCTATATATTTTAAATGGGAAAGTTTCTAAAATATGAGTAAAATCGAGATGGATTTCATGTACATGAGGAGTCTAGTGTTTTTATCTTGGAATAAGAGTTTACATTGTCATCTCGAAATCACATTTGTCATATTATGAAATTATAGACACTAATATGTTGATATCATGTCACAAAATGATAGTATTTTTTGGAATGACGACATTGATTCTTATTTAATGGGAAAACAAAATACATTTGATTAGAAAATAATAATATTTCTATTCTTATTTAGGGTAAATTTATGAATTGAGACTATATTTAATTTATTGGTTAAACTACAATTTGTTTGAAAAGGAGGTGCTTTATCCTAACTTAAAAACCTTTTGAAAAGATGAAAGATTCAAAATAAGATCTATTTGAAAATGAATCATTGATATTGCACTATCAATAATAAACTTAATTATTTAAAGAAAGTAATAAACAATTTACCATCTGAACGTGGAAAGTCCAGTTCCACCTTCATGAAAATCACAAGTGTCACATGGTTCAAGAATCCTAATGCTTCTACTACCTTCATCTGAGCCTCCTGTACTTATTAGTTTTCCGGAGGTCGACAAACCCCCTGATGAACACCATGGGTTGAGGTTGATCTTTAACAAATAAAATATAACATATTGATATGATAAGATATATGAAAATATTAAACATGTGTGCATGTTAAAGATAAAATATAACTAAAATTTTAGGTGTACACCTTTATCTACATATTTGACACACCCTATATCTACATATTAAACATATTTTTATCACCCGCCCCTCCTTTCTTCTTTATTTCATCTTCATCAAACATCTTAATCGTCTTCCATCTTTTCATCACCTCCCATCTTTACCATCTTCCGTATCAATCACCTCTCATCCTCACCATTCCATCTTATTCATCTCTCTTCTTCTTCATCTTCCATCTTCACCATATTATCTTGTATTATCTTCGATTTTACCTACTTCATCATCACCTTTTAAGATCAGGAAAATAACCAGAGTTGGAGTTGCCGGAATTAATATTATTTGTGTCGTTAGTAAAATATTATGTGTCCTATTTTTTTAAAAAGATTGTTAATGTGAAGAAGTTAAATTGAAACTAGGGGCGGGCATGGTCCGGGATGACGGACCAATATATTACCAAACCCATATTAGTACATGGACTATTTAAATGCTACGGTTCGGTTTTAGACCTGAAAGCGTTTGGTACCATTTCACTTTTATAAGCTACGGTACAATACCATACCACAATGCCACTTTTTCAACTGTTTAAGATGAAGCTAAAGTTCTTCATATAATGAATCCATAAGCTATATACATGCATCAAAGTTTAGGCATACTTCAAAACTCCACACAATAAATCAATTTCCAAATTACATGATTAATAAAATTGAGATGCATTTAAGTAGTACAATACATTAAATCAAGAGTGAATATATTTAAACTTAAGATACTAAGACCTACATGCTCTCCTTTATCCTATATCCTCTCGACTTGAACGAGTTTTCACCTCATATCATTTAAACTCAAGTTAGTTAAAAATTTATAATGTTAAGTAAACGAATTTAAGAACACACAGACAAAGTCACAAAATTAGAATTCAGGTTATCAATTTTCACTTCCTATCATGGGTAACTGTAATACCAAAAAGAGTATTGCAACTGGAGTCTATTAATTTCATATATCTTTTTGAACTCCATTGGTAGCTAAGCTTACAAATTTTGATTTTGCCAACTTATCAACTAAATTGAAGAGTTTAAAGCAAAACTAATTAAGGACTAACTGTAAAAAAAGGACTAGCTAAGTAAAAAAAAGTAGTTAAACAAGTCGAGTGTGATAGTTACGAGTGCGTAGTGAACTAGCTAAGCAAAAAAATATACTGGTCTTAGCAGCTTAGGGTAAATGTATTATGTATAGATGAACTAGTGAACCTATACTTCAATCCGGTTCAGTTCGGTACCGACTCTCATTTTATGAAAATCAGTCATGTACTGGTTTGGAAATGGTACAGTTCGGGATACAATTTTTAAAGATGCATTCAAACCCCTATTTTGCGGTATGGTACCATACCGGTCCAGTTCAATACCATGTTGGTTCGGGTTTTTTGCCCATCCCTAATTAAAACAATTGAAATGTTTGTGAAGTTAAGCAACAGATAAAAAGTGTAGTACGTGGTACAAACATTTGTTGTTTGTACATAAATAAAATAATGTATGTGTACAGACATTTTTTCGTATATAGATAACAAGTGCATGCATAGTAACATTACTTTGTGTGCAACTTACATTTGTTTGCGTTCTGTTTCTAACAGAAACGTCATTGTTTAGTTGCATGTAAACCAATGTCTGTGCGCATACATTAGTTGTCTATATACATACAAAAGAATGTTTTGTTGTGCATAAAAATTAATTGTCTGTATACAAATAAAAAATGTCTAGACATGCACACTTTTTGTTTGTAAGCACATACATTTGTTTTCCTGCAACCTAACATTGATTTCGCCATTTAAAAGGAATGTAAATCAATGCAAATAAATGGCATGCAAATCAGTATATGTATACAAATATCTTTTTGTCTGTGGCACAATTTTTCAAAACATTGTTAGTATTCATTTTCCCCGCAGACAAATTATATTATTATTTTGCACGACACAAACAATATTTTATTGACGACACAGACAAAAGTTTCAAGGATTGTTTATCTCTGATTTTTCAAAGACTTTTCGGCGATCTCAAACTTCATCCAATTTTTTCAGTCCTATAAGGTGATACATGTGAAAATGATGAAGATGATGGTGAAGATGGAGTATGGATAGAAGGGGAAGAAAGATAAAGAGAGAAGAAAAGACGATGAAGATGAAATGAAGGAAAGAAGAAAGAAGAAGTGTGTGAGTGGTTAGAGAGGAGAGGGGGGCATGTATAAAAATTGGATCCTTATATAAGGTGTATCAAAGGTTACACAATGAGGGTACACTTAGCATTTTGAAAATATAATATATTGTACTCTAGTTCTTCATTTTATGGCATATTTGGTTCAAAATATAATGAAATTATGACTTTGCGGTGTGCCCACATCAAATTAAAATGTTTTCACCTTGATTAATTTCAACTTGAGACAAATCAAACTACTAGACAAAACCATATTATAATAGACCGCATCAAACTTCAGTAAATTACACGTAAGAATAGGCTTTATAGACCAAATTAGACTAGTTCAAATTAGGCCAAACTCAAACATATCAAGCCATAAAGTTTGAGTTCTAAGTGAAAACATCGAAAACTTGAGGAGTGTAGCCATATTTAACAATGAAGTATGCTTCATAGTGAACTTCGAATGATGAATATTATACTCTTTGTAGATGAGAGAGGTTACGTTGTTGGTATCCATAAGGACTAAATTATTTGGTCTATTATAATCTATTTGAGTTTTGTATGAATTGAGTGGTTTAAGCTTAATCTAATATGATTTTAATTATATTACTGCGTACTAATAATTTAACCGGATATAGTTTAGTCCAATCTATTCAAGTTAATAATTTGATCCATATAAGTTTAATTTAATCTGGTTAAAGAGTGAAATAAATAAAGATAACACGGCCTTAATAACTATATATAGCAAATTTTAAAATTACTCTTCTCAGCCTTATAAAATTAAAAACATTGAGTTTGAATTGATATAAATTTAAAACGAAAGACCACGTATGGGTAAAATCAACATTATTCATTCTTTTTCATTCTACTTCTGCATAAGATGGTATGGCCGAAGTAAAAGAATGTAACTAAAAGACTATATATATGTATCATACAAGAAAAATATAACACCTTAAATCATTCTATTGTTTTGATATAGGCATATAGTCCATTTTCAAACCATTTTTTAACATTTCCTAATAGGTGTTTAGAACATGACCCACTTTTATTCAGTGCCAAATAACAAATATACAATAGTAGTAGTAAGCTTGTCTTAAATATTACTCCGTATTGCACTAGGTTCTCTTAGTTCATTCCACATTAGTCCAACGGTCTATGAAGTGTTATTAATGATAATAGTCTATTAAGTGTTATTTAATTAGTTTTGCATTTTGTTTACTTTAATATAATACTTCACGTAGTGTTCAATGTTCATTTATCTCTCACTACTAATTTTGTTTTATAATTAAAAATTAAATCGATTTGTGGTAATTTAGAAAAGGCTAAAAGGCATAAAGCATCACCATATTAAATGAGGGGATCTAACTATAATACTAACTTTTTTGTATTTATACATTTTTTTCTTATAGTATAACGTATCAATTCTTCATTTGAAAAATGTTTCCAAAGTTTATACTCATCTAAACGTTATTGGCTGATTTAGTGCCTCAATTGCTTATTTGTCCACTTTAACTGGTGAATTTCAAGAAATATTATCATTCTAGTCTGATCTGTGTGACGAGGAGAACCAATAAATTTTGTGAAGAGAACCACTAAGTTCCATTATTTTCTCAAACCTTGATGTTAGTATTTGCATTTTAGTTAAATAGGTAAAACTGCCACTTTAATATATTCCTTATATAATGTTCTCTTTGTTTCTAAATACACTTCAAGGTTGAGTTTTCACATCTAAATTTATTAACTATTAAAGTTAATTTCTCATTAATTATATTATATAACATTATAACAAAAAGTAAATTTCACAAACAAGTGTTTATGTGTATTTAAAAAATTATTATACTTTGAAATAATGTATTGGTGTACATAATAATGATAGTCAACATGAGCATTGAGAAAGTTTAAGTATTTTATGTTCTCAGTGCCCTATAAATACTATTTATATTTCAAAATCAAGTTTTCATTGATTATCCATGCAATTCATTCGATTAAAGCCATTTTAAAATCAAAGATTATATAAAAACAAAGATTAGGAATGACTTTGATTAATTAAGAATCATCATGATGGTGGTCGATCAATGGTCAGACTGCTGTTAGTATATTTTCATATGTGATATATTTCTTTTTTTGTGTGTTTGTAATTGCATTATGAAAATGTAAGTTTTATTTTCTCAATAACTTGAGCATAAAAAAAATCATCTATCAAATATCATATATTAAATCATGATCTTGTATATGAGAAAATTAGAATATAATGCAAAAGGTTAAAAAGTTCCAAACCTTGAGCGTCCTAACATCACCACTGTTAGGATCAAAGATTATACCATGAGCCCAACAATCAGTACGACCATTAGGGAGTTTTCTGCACCATTCCGGATTGTGCCTGAGCGCAGAAGGACCAAGATTTGTGGTATCATAAAAAACAACCTTATTATTTATCATAAGCTGCATATGCATGGCCGAAACACCCACAAACTCTTTTGTGACTTCCCAATATGACGCAGAGTAATCCATATCAAAATCTGGTTTCTGAAATACATCAGGAACCTCGGCATTATTCTGGAAAAAATTGGTATTAAATTTTAAAACGGCATTCTTGTCGGGAATATGTTTTGCAAAAGGCGATTTTGATGAGACGGTGCAAACAAATGACATGGGAAGAAGAAAAACAATAAGGGATTTCAATGATATCATTATTGACGGTGCCATTGGAGAAGCCATTGACAAAAGAAAACGACTTCTCCGATGGGCAGACATAATGACCATCATTCCTTCTCTTAAATGATTGTCATAAAAATAGGAGATGTAAAAGAGGAATTTGAGCGTCGAAAAGGTAGGAGATTCATGACACTTGTAAATGAACTATCTAAACAGTTTTACTTGCACTCTCTACCTTTATTTTATTTTATTTTATTTTCTCAAATAAACAATAAAATGGCACAAAGCATTTTAGGGGAGGGGCGCAAACGGTAAAAATACTTGCACTATATATTTTTTCTCATATATTATTTATTAAAAATAAAATATGATCATTTAAGTCAATTTGTAATAGTGTTTTATTTATTCAAAAGATCAAAACATGCTAAGAGGTGGTTTTAGAGGAGGGACAGCAAAGCATGTGCCCATGACTGAGAATAATGATCAGGCTTACAAGACTTGTAGCTCTGAGTATCTCATAGATATAATAAATAATAATCCTGATGGAGTATATGGCCCGGGAACACCCGGCCCACAGACTCCTACTACTCCAGTAGAGGCCCAACAGGCCAAGAAGGCCCAACAGGCCCAAATCACGGCGCCCAGAGTACCAAGCAGCCCGCAATACGCACCAGGGGTGCCCTCGGCCCCCTGGCCGAAGGCTCCAAACTATCACAGCATGGATATTTCGAACAAACAGAGGAACTGGGAGAAAACGGCGAAAACAGTAGCCCTCGGCACCTGGAGCCCTCGGCACTCAGGGGTCCTCGGCACTAAGAGCCCTCGGCTAGTCCTCTGCAACCGAGGGCACCTCTCCCGACATGATATCCGCCTCACATGCGTACAGATCACCGTACCCTGTACAGACGTCCCATCCAACAGCCGCATTAAATGCGGCCACATGCGGCTGCCAACGCCAACCAGTTGAGGTGACCCCTCGGCCAATAGGCGCTTGACACGTGTCCCTGTCCGGTATTTATTGCTACTATAAATAGCACCCCATTTCCCCATTTGTAACCACGCTGAAAACGCTCCACATTTATAACACACTCCTCACTGGCTTTCTTCACAACAACAGGATTCCACACTTTTCCTAAGTCCACACTTTTGGAAAATGACAGCAACCGGAGGTTAATATGTCACCAGACAACCGAAGGCATCTATTACAAATCATCAAAAGCCAACCGAGGGGGACTATTCCAAGATATTTGCCCCTCGGACAGACTCCTCACTGACCAAAGGTCCAACATCTACGACACACTGTGAAATTTTGCAAAGTTCCACATATTTGGCCCTCGATCAAAAACTCATACAACTCAAGGGCCCCACGATCACCCGAAGGGTCCTATTCATATACCCGGAGGGCTCTACATCCGGAAGCTCAACATCACTTTACGCCCAAAAAATATTCTAAGTCCTAAATGAGTAGCCCCCGGGCATCTCACGAAGTGATGCAGAGTCAGAGGGCGCCTATCACCCGGAGGCGACACAAGGAAGCAGCACTTGGAAAAAATTCTAAGTCCTAAAGATTGGGCCCCCGGCCCAATCAATATTACAGCCAAGGGAATATGATAGCCGAAGGCTATGCGATACAACAGCACTCAGCACTTAGAATAATTTTCTAAGTCCTACATATCCCCCCCCCCCCCCCGGTCAACTACTCATACATCAAGAAGGGATGCCATTTCCCGAAGGCTTCCAAGGGAAAAGCTACACTTGGAAATCTTTCTGAGCCCTACATATTTCACCCTCAACTTATAAAGGGTCCCAATAGCCGAAGGCTACCTATCAATCAAAGGCTACAGTACACAAGGAATCAACACTGAGGAAAATTTTCTAAGTCCTAAAGAATTGGCCCCCGACCTAATCAACATTCCAGTTGGGGCTCCACAGTAGCCGAAGGCTACATGACATACTACAATTGCAAAAAAATTCTAAGTCCTGTACATTGGGCCCTCGGTCCAATATTCACGCATCGGGAAGGAGGCTACCAGCCGAGGGCATCCGAAAGCCAAACTACACCTAGAAATTTTTCTAAGTCCTAGGAATTGGGTTCTCAACCTAATCACCACACAGCAATGGAACTACAAACATCCGAAGGCCCTAGGGTGTGCTACACTTAGAAAAAATTTCTAAGTCCTAATTACTGCTGAGCCCTCGGTTGTATATCCAGCAAAGGGTGCCCAACTGCCGAAGGCTACAACCGTATTCAAACACTTAGAAAGTATTCTAAGTCCTAGACATACATTCAAAAATACCGAAGGCATACACTCAAGAAAAACGGAGGCATACATTCGAGAAGAAAGGAATTAGAGAAAACAAGCCATATATACGAAGCCCGAAGGCATGCATTCATCAAAAACAGAAGTGAGTGTGAAATTACAAACAGGCCGAAGCCGAAGGATCAATGTTGTTCATTACAAAATATGTTCAGACATTCCTAAGTATAAAATCACTCAACAACTTCGACAGCATCATTCCCCGGGGCGTCCTCTGCAGCCGGCCTCGACGATACCTCCGCTCCGGCCTCAACAGCGTCGTCCTCGGCCTCTTTCTTCAGCTCTGTGTCCTCAAGGTCGGGCCGTTGTACACCTTCGGGAAGGGATTCATGGACATCAGGCTGCAGGGGAGGGAGGCCATATGCCGAGGGGGTGAAATCCTTTGGCTCAATACCCAAGTGTCGGGCCATCCTCCGATAGATGAGGGCCTGGGTGAAGAATTCACCGGCCTCATAATATTCTCTGCCCTTCCGGGCCATCCATTCCCACCCAGGGCCCTCGGCCCATTCATCAACGCATGCCTCCTCAACCGAGGACACCCACATCTTGCGCCCCTCGGCTCTCCAACCCTCGGCGACGAAGGCGTCAACGGCCTCCTCCTGAGCCTTGGCGATGGCTAACGCCTTGGAATCCTCGGCCTCTTTGGCAGCTCTCCTGGCCTCCTCAGCAGCGGCCTCAGCATCAGCCTTGCCCTTTTCTGCAGCTTCCAATTTTAGGTTCATCTACCGAAGCTCCTCTTCTAGCCTGGCCCCCAGCTTCACCGCCTCTTTGTTCTTGAGGATACACTCCCTCATTTTGACGTCCTGCTCCGCTTTGTGAAGGCGCCATTCTTGAAGCCTCCGGGCCTGTTCGCCGAGGGCTAGACAAGCCTGCAGATCAACAACAAAAACGGTTAAAGGCAATCACACAAAATGATCAAAGGAGAAGATGGAGAAAGCCAAGTGAACACTTACAGAGAGGGAGGAGCGGAGAATGTGGTCCTCGAGGGCCGCATCATTATAAGCCCCGAGGGCAGCCCTATCCGTCTCAGGGGTTATGCCCCTCAAGATGGCCCCCGGGTCGACAGCGCCGCTGGCCAGAGATGTACCCCTCGGAAACGAAACTTGGAGGACCTCAGGCAGCAACTCCTCTGCCCCCGCCGGCGTTCCACCCGACGGCTTCTCCACATGCACCCCGGAGGCGGGGTGCTCATCAACAATCATGACCGGGGGCTCCTTATCGGTGATATCCCCCTTCTTCGGCTTTTTGGTAGCCGGGGGGACCCCTTGGTCGCCGCCTTCCTCTTGCTGGAAGCGGCATCGCCCTCGGCTTTCTTGAAGAGGGCAGTGGCGGGCTTCTGGTTGCCCTGTCCCGACCCCTTCGGGTCCTGTTTCTTCAGGCGAGCGAGGCCCTTCACGTTCACCATGGACACGGGGATACCTACAAAAATACGACAAAGGATTAGGCCGACGGGTCTAAGCGAAGGGACAATGACATCCAAGCAAAACAAAAAAAACTAAGTACAAAAATCTAAAGCCCTCAGCTCCTACCTCCGGCTCCTCCGAAGGCCTTGTTGAAGGGAGGATACTTCTCATCGGTCTCCCCTATGAAGCGGTACCTCCGGAACCCGAGGGTGTATAAATCCTCCTCGAGGGTGCAATCTTTGATCGCCACATTCTTATTTTTCCCTTCCGGGAACTTGGCCAGCTTTAGACCGTCTTTCTCGAGGGCAGCACTCCTGATCTTTTCGTGCCTTCGGAATCGATCACGCAGCTCCCTCGGGAATGGGTTCTCGCCCAACTTCACATAGCACCAACGTTCCCTCCATCCTTTGTTTGAAGAAGGGGCATCGGAGAGTAGTTTGAAACGGGCAATCTGCTGCAGGTTCGCGTATCCCTCGCCGTTTTCGTGCCCCCCCCCCCCCCCCGGCACAAATTAAAGCTCTGGAAGAATAGATCCAGGCTGGGCTTCACCCCTCGGGACTTGCAGAGCTGGAGGAACCCCGCAATGTAGGAGTGGTTGTTGGGCGTAAGCTGGCAGGGGACCAAACCAACAAACCTCAGGTACTCCCGAAGGAACGGGTACAGAGGGAACCTAAGTCCCATAGAAACTGAGAGGACGTGAATGGCGATACACCCCTCGGGCGCCCTGGACAACACGTCGTCAGGACCTGGCTCCACCACTTCGGCCGAGGGCCCCACGTGCAGCTGAGTCACGTACAGATCTGCCCTATCGGCTTTCGACCTAATCTCGAGGGCCTCAGTGTTCAACCAACTGTACCCCTCGGGCATGTCCACTGGATTTCCTTGATCGACAGCCCTCTCCTTCTTTTTGGTAGCGGCCTTCGCCTTCTTCTTCTTCAACCCAGAGACCGCCCTCAGAGGTATCGGATCTAGCGGCCTCGAGCTACTTGCTTCCCCAGAACCCGGGGGGGGGGGGGGGGGGGGGGGAGAACAACAATTGTAACCTTCGTGCTCTCATTCTGCGCCTCATCCTCCGCTACTTGCCATGCGAGGGCTAGGTCTTCATCCTCGCACTCTTGCTCGAAGCCCTCGGCTTCGACCTCAGCAATGAGTTCCTTCTGGACCTCCCGGGCCAGGGCGGCATCAGCACCGACCGAGGGCTCGCTGACGGACTCCGCATCAGAAACGTGCTCCTCATCGACCGAAGGGTCCCCCGATATGTTTTGGGAATCGCTCTCGGACGACATTTTTTATCACGAAATGTGCCTAAGATTTCGAAGGATTTCTACAGGACCCTAACCCTAATCTAAGGCCAGAGGGCGGAACTTACTAAAAGTTTTGAGGGGAAAGCGGGACACTAACCTT